CCAAATAATGTAAATAATGTAAATAATCATAATACCTCGTCTCAGAGATATAGAGGCCGAAACGTTGTGAATATGGCAATGAAGATGAGGATAACAGTCCGAATAATATAAATAATGTAAGTAATCATAGTACCTCATCTCAGAGATATAGAGGCCGAAACGTTGTGAATATGGCAATGAAGATGAGGATAACAGTCCGAATAATGTAATAATCATAATACCTCATAAATAATGAAAATAATCAATAATACCTCATCTCAGAGATATAGAGGCCGAAACGTTGTGAATATGGCAATGAAGATGAGGATAACAGTCCGAATAATGTAAATAATCATAATACCTCACCTCAGAGATATAGGGGCCGAAAGGTTGTGAATATGGCAATGAAGATGAGGATAACAGTCCAAATAATGTAAATAATGTAAATAATCATAATACCTCGTCTCAGAGATATAGAGGCCGAAACGTTGTGAATATGGCAATGAAGATGAGGATAACAGTCCGAATAATATAAATAATGTAAGTAATCATAGTACCTCATCTCAGAGATATAGAGGCCGAAACGTTGTGAATATGGCAATGAAGATGAGGATAAGAGTCCGAATAATGTAAATAATGTAAATAATCATAATACCTCATTTCAGAGATATAGAGGCCGAAACGTTGTGAATATGGCAATGAAGATGAGGATAACAGTCCGAATAATGTAAATAATGTAAATAATCATAATACCTCATTTCAGAGATATAGAGGCCGAAACGTTGTGAATATGGCAATGAAGATGAGGATAACAGTCCAAATAATGTAAATAATGTAAATAATCATAATACCTCGTCTCAGAGATATAGAGGCCGAAACGTTGTGAATATGGCAATGAAGATGAGGATAACTGTCTGAATAATGTAAATAATGTAAATAATCACCATATCTCATCTCAGGGATATAGACAGATATTGCATTCGCAATTTTCCCAAATTAGTTCTTCTGATTCTGAGAATTTTTTTTTATAGATCCTTACTTAATAGTAAAACTTGATTCATTTTGGAAACATTAGAATAATCTAGAATATATACTGGAATCAAATGTTTTTTATAAGAATAGGGTTAGACGTATGTACGCAAAAATGTGTATAAAAATGTCTATAAGACAAAATACGTCACCTCACCGGAGTTTTATTTATTTAATTTTTACACCAAGGTGATCCTAAGTGAATTAGATGGCCTACCATGATTTATTATTGCTGGGGTGATCTTAACAACGAGTGACAGAACTAATTTCAACTCGGAACTAATTTCAACTCGATTTAAAAACCCTAACCCCTAACCCTAACCCCTAACCCTAGCCCTTAATTCTGAGTTGAAAATTAGTTCCGAGTTTAAATTAATTTTGCACCCCTTAAAAACGTATGATACACAGACAACACCGCTTTGATAACAGAACCAAATAAGAAAACGACAGAGACTCTTAGACAAAGTAGTAAAGGAAAGCAAGAATAGACGAACTATCAATTGTAAGAAGACCGAATGTATAACTGACAGCAAGAGAAAAAAAAAAACCCGAAATGGCTGCTATGAGTTGGAGAGCTCAAAATCAAGTAAATCCAAAAATTTAAATTTCTCGAAAGTGTTTTAACAAGCGACATAAAATGTGATACCGAAATCCGTTGCAGTAGCGAAAGATGTCTGCCAAAAGTTAAGCAAAGTATTAAGAAATAGGAAAATTTCGTTAGAACCAAAGAAAAGCGTTCTCAATTCCTTTGTTATATCAGTCCTCCTATACGGCAGTGAATGCTAGACAATTTCCTCCCAGATTAAGTGGAGGATTTAGGTAACAGAGATGGAATTATGCAAAGGATGATGGGAATATCATGGACGGAACATGTAACTAAGAAGGAAGTCTTATTTTTTTAAGCATTTTACCTAAAGCAAGGCGGGAGTTCCACTAGTACGCAAGGGGTTACAGAGAGTGAAAGTAAGAGTAAAGAGGGAGAGATTACAGAGAGTGAAAGTAAGAGCAAAGAGGGAGCGGTTACAGAGAATGAAAGTAAGAGTAAAGAGGGGTGTTTGAGGAAAAATAAAGAGAAGGAAGAATAAAGAGGGATAAAAACCAATTCATCAGACGATGACGATTAACATTACATTTAAATTTTTAAAGACTATAGCTATCAGGGAAGCAAATAAGAGGAAGGGAGTTCTACTGTCGGGAAGTGCGAGTGAAGAAGCTGTTAGAGTAGAACTGGCGGTTACATTTAACCTTTTAGACAGTGAAAGAGTGGGACCGAGATGCCAACCTAGTAGCACGCTTAAACTCATGCAGTTGGGGCACCAGTGAAAATAGCTCGTCAGAGCAGATGCCATTAAAATATATGTAGAAAAGACAGAGGGAAGCCACATCACTTCTAAGGAAAATGATAATAAGTACACTTGTACTTAGAATCAGAATGAGGCAGTTGAAATTTCTGTGAGACATAATGAGGAAAAAGAGCTTGTAGAATTTTACTTTCACAGGTCATATTCAAGGCAAGAGGTTAAAGGGAAACATATAGGAAGTTGTGGAGATCCATGATCACCCACTTCCTGAAGAGACATTGTATTTTAGAGACTGAGCAAGAAAAATGAATTTTGTCAATTATTCCTGTATGTATACATTTTACTCCGCCTTTGTTCTTTTCCGGCAGTCGATGTCGGCTTCATTCAAGCAGATTGCGTATAAATAAGCCAGTGAATAAATATAAGATGGCGCCAATTCATAATTATTACTTTTATTTATTTATTTTGTTTCGCGTTCGGCTTTCGCATGAATCTGCATTCAAAAAAATTAAATTAAATTAAAATAAAATAAAAACACTGCACCTAAAGTCACTACTTTAATCGTAACGACAACAACACTGTTGACGTCATTGTTCCAAATACCGAACATCCCAGCATGCTTTGCTTTTGTTTAGCTCAGATATCCGGTCACATTACGTCTTCTGCATCTGCGAAACAAACCGAGCTGATGCAGGTTCTGGTAAACGAGTACTCACGTGCAAATTCCGTGAAGTCAGAAACGTGATCACCTGCTCTGCTTGACACCCCCCCCCACTCTCTCTCACTTTATCTGTCTGTCTGCATCCCTGCCCCCCTCTCTCTATTTTTCTCTTCCTTTTTCTTTCCGTGATTTCGTTTTCTTTAAATCGATGTCACCCTGGGCTTCTCATTCTTCCTCTCTCTCTTCGTTCTTTCTGTTTTGTTCTGTTTCATCGACAGTAACTACTCTCTTTGTCAATCTCCCCACTCGCTCTCTCTCTCTCTCTCTCTCTCTCTCTCTCCTTAAACGACATCATGCCTCTCTCTCTCTAAAAAGAAAAAGCTAAAGGGAGAGAGTGGTGGGTGGAATCCGAGGAAAAGATAAAATTTAACGAGGAAAGATTATAATAAAATTTATTAAACCATTCACAATGTGTTATAATTTCATTTTCAAATTTGTTTTAAATGCTTTCCTTATATTTTTGAGATTATCTGTTTACATCATTTGGTTCATGTCTGTTCGTCTGTCTGTATGTCTATCTATCTCAATCTGTTTCTATCATTATCTATCTATCTATCTATCTATCTCTCTATCTCTCTCTCTCTCTCTCTCTCTCTCTATATATATATATATATATATATATATATGATCCTCTTCATATTTATCTAGTTATATAATATTTCTCTCTCTCTCTCTTTTTATATATATATATATATATATATATATATATATATATATATATATATATATATATATATATATATATATATATATATGCATGTATATATATATATATATATATATATATATATATATATATATATATATATATGTATGTATGTATGTATCTTTTGAACTATAAAAATATTAAAAAATTAAAATCTGTCACACTGGCTTGCATATTAATATTCTTTCGTTTTCATTATTATTTCAGTTAGATTCCTCGACTAGTTTTGTCCAAAATGGCCTTCGTCAGGAGGAAAAAAAATTGCTTGCTGGTAGCAGTAAACTACAGAAATGAATGGAGAAAATGAACTTTTGTCTGTAGTTTTAATTTATTTTTCAATTTTTTTTTTACATGAATTTTGGTCAGACCTTTTTTGGTCAAACTGTCACTTTTGAGTTGATATTTAAAATAAGAGCTGAATGGATTCATTCCCTTGGTCATTTTGACAGGTTTTTATTTTTTTGGGGGGGTTCCTGGAAAAGGGATGTGTCTCTGTTAAATGTGTGCGTTATATGGTTCTTAGGGAGTGAGTGAGTATGATGTATGTAAGCGAGTATATTTGTATGGATGCGTGTATAAGTGTGAGGCCTCAACACCTCCGCAAGCCTGTCTGTCTTGTGTGGGTGAGAAATGTGGGTAGGGCCTGATTTGTGGGGTTACATATTAATTCTATCTATGTGGTTAAATTTGTGATTAAGCCCGTCTGGATGGAGCGTTTTTAAGTGCAGAATCCACTTCTTTCATGGCCTTCTAAAATCTTTCTAATGTTATCTGCTCTGAACTTTTCTATTTTCTCAATTATAACGAATTTGCATGGCTTTTAAAATCGTGTTTTTCCAGGCGGAAATGTTGTTCTACAGGTAATAATCTTTCATGGGGAGTCGACGTAATTCGATTGCGATAATTATTAATTCTGTAGTGAATGGGCCATTCAGATTTTCCTACATATTGTTTCTGGCATAGTGTGCATTCTAGGAGGTAAATTATGTTATGACTTCTACAGTTAGAGTCGTGGTAGATTTTGAAAGTAGATTTAGTGAGTGAGCTAGTGAATGAATTCGTGTGTCTAATGTGGTTGCAGCATAAGCTCCTTTTTTTGTTACATGGTTGGGAAAATCCTGTTGTTTTTGTTTTTAGTTTATTACGGATTACCTTGACCCCTGAAATGTGGTTACTACCTATGATTTCTTTTAGGTTCTTAGGTCTACGATATGCTAGAAGGCCAGGTTCCACAAACAATTCACGCACACACACACACACACACACACACACACACATATATATATATATATATAGGGTGACCCAAAAAATAGGAAATTTTGAAGTGCGTATTGCCAGACATGAGCAAGTGGCAACACTGCGATACAGTGACCTTGAGCAAGTAAACATTTTGCCATTTAGAATTCAAGATGAAATTCACAGTATCCCAGCTGAGATGTTGCAGCAGTGAATGAGGAATCTCAACAGCAGATTTCAAGAATGCATTCGTACAGGAGGACGCCATCTACAGGACGTAATTTTTAAAAAATGAAAACTCCATCATTGTTTCGTAAATGGCATGTTTTAAGGTTTCAATTACTATGAATAAAATATTTTTCTTCCATCACTCTTGGTTTTATTGGATTGTTAAAAAGTTCCCATTTTTGGGGGTCAACCTATATACATATATATATGGTTCGGTTCAGAATTTCCTGTATGTTACCCAGATCGATATGCTCCTGGGGACTACAATGGTCAAAACGTTTTGATAACAACAAGAAGATGAGAAAAATAGTCCATAGTTATAGTATAGCAATAAGGATAATTCCTCATCCCAGAAATTCAGACAAAAATATTCAGGGAAAAATAATAAATTACCTGTAAAAAATAACCTGTTGCATCGTTAAATATTTCAGTTTAACAACTCTTAACAAAATATTAAAATAACTATTATAAGTATAAATGGATGTCATTATTTAAAGAAGTAAGAGGGTACAAATAAAAAAAAACTCAACATTGGCAAGGTTTTTTTTCCCATTTCACTGAAGCAGGCATGAGAGCGTTATTATCTCCTCTGTCACTCCTTTCATTCTTTCTTCCTTATTGTCAGGATGTTTATAACATTTTCTTACATCTTACTTTGCTGTCAAAACGGAATGGTCCATTATTTATCCGAGGCAATGAGAGCGCATAACACACCTGCTATGATTATAGGTATTTACTAAGCACGGCTTCGCTAGCGTGTTTCTCTCAGCAATGTTACCACTGGTGGAGCGCTAGAAGTGCACCGGTGGCTGCCACCAGAGGACCGTTTACGTATAAGGAAGATTTATGACTAAGAAAGAGAATGATTAAAAAGAAATTTCGGTAATCGATGAAAGTAATCAATCCAGCCTAGTTTATTATTTTCGACAATATCAATCAACACTGTAATGGTCTAAAACTTAGGAGATAACTCTTCACTTATCAGATAGATAGAAAGATATGAGCATGCTGAGATAGATAGATAGATAGATAGATAGATAGATAGATAGATAGATAGATAGATATGAGTACATTGAGATAGATATATAGTTAGACAGACAAATAGATTCATAGATAGATATAAGTATGCTGAGATAGATAGATAGATAGATAGATAGATAGATAGATAGATAGGACTATTGGTATTCCCAAGCGGTTATCCATCTAGGTACTAAATAGGTTCGACGTTGCTTAACCTTGGTGAACGGGCATGAATCGGTGTTTCAACGTGATATGAACGTACGCCTCTCATACCAAATACGCATCTCAAGACCAAATTGACGAGAGAAAACGAATTGACTATTTAAGAAAACAATCCTTCGTCAGTCTGTAGATATTAGCATTACGAAATCACAAGCAAATAGCTTTATAAATTTTTTATAAATCACTTAAAGACTTCCAGAAGCAGCAACAACAAAAATGGTTAGCACGATCGAAGGGAAAATGAATTATATAATCTTTACAGATGTGTGACGTTTATTACTTTTATTTAGTGTGTGCTGTGTCCTACCGTATAGGCGCTCTGAGTTCCAAATTGCGTATATTCGAACTTTCACTTGAAAATATTGCAGACAATATATATTAAGTCTTTACAGCCTTCCCTCTGTAAACAAAAAGAGTAACCTTTAGGTTCGAATGTTATTTACTGGTGTTCTTGATTGTGTGACGCCATGATTCATTTGTTTATTTGTTTTTATCTGTTTTTACTTTTGTGCAGTTTATGTAACTAGAAGGGAATATTGATATAATCGAAATCTTGACTTTTTTCACTGCATTAACAAAAGCCTTAAAAGGAAACACTCTCCACTACTAGAAAGAGAGATAACATTTAGTGGGCTTGAGAACATGAATTTCCTGAAAAATTATTTTCATCAAAGAAGATTTGATAAAATTTCAAACGACAGTAACTTTTTGGTCAACGAATGTTGAATGTTCTCTTCAAGGAAACGGTAAATTTCAACATTACCATTAACTCTAGAACACTAACCATGGGTACATAGTACCAAGCTCAAATTTTCCTATTTTTAAATACAATTTTCAGTACCTGATTTTCTTACCTAAATAATATGTTTTTCGGTTCCTATTAATGTTAAGTCAAAGTACAAATTTTGAAGTGCCTGTATATAAAATATTTCAAATAAAGATTTATATTTAATATTTTTTTTGATATTTTCAAAATCGGGTATGATATACTCATGGTTAGTAGTGGTGTAACTTTAATTAATGGTTAGTGTTCTAGAGTTAAATATAAAATCATGATT